CATCTTAATGGGGGGCATGTTGTCCCTGGCACGTGCATGTGTTGCGTCTGCCTATGCGCCGTCGTAGCCAATTATCTCGCCCTGCGCCCCAGCCGAGACCGTCCCGCTTCCTGGATCTGTCCTTGTGAGCCGCCAATCAAAAAGTATCCCCACCAGCCCATCCAGAAACGATGCCCAGGCAAGTTGAAGAGATCAGGGAAGTGGGGGAGCAACGAGAGTGACAGCCGATCCGTGCAAAGGATGAGGCGGAAGAGGAGGCCACATGGATAGATGAGGGGGTGGCGAGGAACCGAGCGAAGGAGGGATGAGGAGAATGATGACGCTGAGTGGATGGTTGAATGCCGCGCGGATGCCTCTGAGAAACCTTTTGGAAGCCTCTTCGGGCGTCTTGGGGGACTCTTGGCGGTCAATGGGGGCTCTTGGGCGTCTTGGGTGCTTCGGGGGGGGCCTCTTGAGACCGCTTGGGATCCTCTTGGGGGGCTCTTGAAGGCCTGTTGGAGGCCTCTTGGTGCCTCTTGGGGGTCTCTTGGAGCTTCATGGCGGCCTCTTGGAGCCTCTTGGAGGCCTCTTGGAGCCATCCTGGGAGCCTCTTGGAGCCTCTTGGGGGCTTCTTGGGGCCTCATGGCGGCTTCTTGCAGCCTCTTGGAGGCCTCTTGGAACCTCTTGGGGCCTCCTGGGCGCCTCTTGGGGCCATCTTGGAGGAGATCGATCAAAGAAGAGGGTGGAGTTAATTAGCCCCGCCCCCCCAAGAGGCCAAAATGGTGCCAAAACCATAGTCATACCTATGATTTTGGCTTCCTCGCCGAGACCGTTTTGGACGCCCTGACCGCTCGCGACCGGCCCCGTCCAGGTCCAGGGGAGGGGGTAGGGGGGAGGGGTAAACCCCTCCCCGAAGGGAAAGAAAGGGGGTGGAAGAGGAAACTCTCTAAACCACCTACGCCCAGAGGGCTGGTGGGATTAATTCCTGGTCGCATTGAGTTGCCAATTCCACTGCTCACGCAGTCGCCCCCCCCGCCCGCCCGCCCGCAACCTGGTTTGCATAAGCCCACGCGGCGGCGATTACGAAGCGTGGTCGGCGTTGGTTGGTGCATCTTCGCGGTCGCGCTAGCCCGCACATGCTCCCGCGCGCAGCGGCCAGCTAGGTTGGCGCGATCGGCGCGGCCACGGTGGCGTTGACCTCCTGGGCATTTCCCAGCGGGCACTTCGGTGCGAGTCGGCCACTTTGTCGGGCGCGGTATCATGGCAACGCCAACGACCGTAGACACGGCGATAGTAGTAGCGACGTTGGTCCCGATGATGACAACGGCGACGGCACGGCCAGTGACGGCGCCGATGCTGATCACGCCGATGACGATGACGGCGTCCTCGCGTCGGTGGTGAAGGTTGTGGAACAAGTTCAATATGCTCGCGTGGCCGACGGGCGAGAGATGGGCCCCCCCAGCACGCGCGCGAGGGCGGTCGAATGATTTCGACATGCGGCGCGGGAGACCCGTTGGGCCGAACATTATGAAAGTCGTAGCATATATGTATTGATATGCACATACATGTATTTGTAAATAAACGTGCGCGTGTGAAATCCGGCGTTGCAGAGCCATGTGTTCGTATATCTTCCCGGGGGGCGTTCGATTGTGAAATCTTTGCGACACTTCTTTTTGTTGGAAGAATTCCGGCATGCGCTCGCGACGACGCGATCATGTGCACGTCGCCTATTGTGATTACGAGGGAGGCGCCCGACAACACGCGCACCATGGCGATCGAACGATTTTGATATTCGCGCACGGAAAGCCCATGTGGTAGTTAGTTTTGCGATGCAAATGTTCAAAAAATATGTGATGTGGAGTCCTTTGAAATCTACGGTTCTTGAAACCCTTGCGGTTTAGGTAAAATTCTTACGATGACCACGGTTTTTAAGGGATTGCGGCATGCGCGCGCGACGACGCACGCGTGTTCAGTTCGTCAGTTGGTTTGTGAACGTTGTTTGGACATTTGTGATGTTGTGATGAACGAGTGTGCGCACCCAGTATCTATGCATTGTATGATGGGCGAGGGCGTTGCCGGCCTGGCTTGCATTCGTATGCAGGACGGACGACCAGGGGCAGAAAATATGTCAATTGCTATAAGAAATCGTTGCTCGTTAAGTCGGGGGAGTATTCTTTTTATGCTTATATATATATATATATATATGCACATACATACATACATGCATGCATACATGCATGCAGACATACATGCATGCATACATAACTGTACGTTACGCAATGTAGGTGGCGTAAGCTACCCAAAGTGTAGCAAAGTCCGCCATCGGCCCTAACTTGTGGGTATGAACCGTACTGGATGTTCGTTGGGATACCATGGTAGGGTTCCTGGGCGTTTATGGTCAGCAGTTGTGAGGCCTCTTTGGGGCCGTTTTGGAGCCTCTTGGGGCCTCCTTCGCGCCTCTTGGGGGCTTTGTGGGGCCTCTCGGCGCCTCTTTGGAGGTCTCTTGGGGCCTCCTGGGAGCCTCTTGGGGCGGAAGGCTCGGATTGTCGGTTCGTGTTCCTTCTTTCGGGCTCCTTTGGGGCCGTCTTGGGGCCTTCTTGGGCCGTCTTGAGCGCCTGGTGGGCCGTCTTGTGGCGCTCTTGTGCAGTTTTCGGGCCCTCTTGGAGGCCTCTTGGGCCGTTCTGGCGTGGTTTGGGGGGCTTGTTGGGCAGTCTTGGAACGTTGGAAGATCGAGAAGACGAGAACGTCAAAATCCTTCAAAAACTTGCGGGAAACCTTGGGGTTTTTTGAGAGGCCTCGTGGGGACTCTTTGGGGCGTCCTGGAGGCCTCTTGGGCAATTTGGGGGCCACCTTGGGCGTTTTGGGGCGATCTTGAACTGTCTGTCTTGGAGGCCTCTCGGCGGGCTGGGTGGGCTTCCTGGGCCGTCATGGGAGCCTTGGAGGGCCCAAGGGAAGCGCCATGGCCGCCCAGGGACCCCTTCGGAGCAGGGGTGGTGCAGGTGTCTGGGTGCGTCCAGGGAAGTGGGGGCCCTTAAAAGACTACAGGAAGCCTGCCAGGCAGCCATTTGCATTCTTCCACGCCTCAACGTGCCGCAGGCACGGTGGCGGATGTGGCTCAATCGATGTTAAGCCATCAATGTAATGCAATATACGTGTTGCAAGCTATGTGGTGCAAGCTACGTACTTAGATCTATGTAGAGCAATTCACGAGGTTCGCACATCAAATTGCGACCAAAATGCGGCGGCCACCGGCGGCGACGGCGACGACATGGGTGCGAACCCGACAGCGGAGCGCAGACGACGGGCGGCGACGATGCGGCGAACCGGAGCGGTGACGGCGACTACGAGGCGGCGGACCCGGCAATGGAACCGAGACGACGAGGCGGCAATGAGAGGGCGACGGCGACCACGAGGCGGCGGACCCGGCATTTCCGGGAGCGGAGCCCAATTCTTTGGAATCCAAGTGAGAGTAATTGAATACAAGCTAGAGTGTAAACTCGGAGGCTAGAGGCGGGTACCCATACCAGTATCGGCGGTTGCCTCCAACGACGGAAGATGATCCCCATCTCGGTGATCGTATATTCCGGGCTTCTTAGGTGTGCAAGAAATTACCACCAGCACCAAAATCCAGGATCACCTTCCCCCTGTGAGGGCAACCCCTTTGCGTTGGTGTTGGTGTCAACTTCCAGGCCCCCAATACATGAGAAAAGGTTCTGGCCTTGCCAGGCCCCGGAGCCGCTAGACAGCTCTCGGGATGAACAACCAGTCGATCATCTTCAGGCCGTGTGTGTGCGTGTGTGTGTGTGTTTGTGTGTTTGTGTGTCTGTGTGTTTGTGTGTTTGTGTGCTTGTGCGTTTGTGCGTTTGTGTGTTTGTGTGTTGTGTGCTTGTGTGTTTGTCTGCTTGTGTGTTTGTGTGTGTGTTTGTATGTGTGTGTGTGTTCGTGTGTTTGTGTGTGCTTGTGTGCTTGTGTGCTTGTGTGCTTGTGTGCTTGTGTGCTTGTGTGTTTGTGTGTGAATGTGTGTGAATGTGTGTGAGTGTGTGAGTGTGTGAGTGTGTGAGTGTGTGAGTGTGTGAGTGTGTGAGTGTGTGAGTGTGTGTGTGTGTGTGTCTGTGTGTCTGTGTGTCTGTGTGTCTGTGTGTCTGTGTGTCTGTGTGTCTGTGTGTCTGTGTGTCTGTGTGTCTGTGTGTCTGTGTGTCTGTGTGTGTGCGTGTTAGCTCCGTTCAGCTACACCGTCAGCATGCAGCCAGTGTCGGTCCTGATTTACACCGCCTGAGCAACTGCGTCGTATCGAAGGGCCTCGATGGACAACCCCACGTAGGCGCTAGCACATGCTCTGAGGATCATTGAAACACACAGAATATCGCCGGGAGGGGTAGCCACAGGACGTCCGGGGGCCCACGTTGCGAGCAAAAGCGCGATGCTGGTGGCGGGCGCTTCCTTGGGCCCTTGCCCAAAAAGCACTGAAGTCTGCGCTGGAGGCGTCGCTCCATGGGAGCAATACGTTCAGGGGTTGACAAGAGTCTACCTTGCCCAAGGTGTTCCCAGTTTTTGTCCCGCCAGTCTTGGGCCTCTGTGGCCCTCTGGGCTTTCTGAGGGGTGCTCTAGAGGCCATCTGGACCTCCTCGAAAATCCGGGGGTCTCCATGGGCCGGGGACTTGTGGCAACACTCCGTGCATGTATCCAGGGGCGGCAATGTTCCATGTATTCGGCGAGGCTCCCCAGCGAACATATGATGCCGGCCTCTGGGCTTTTCGCCCGTATCATCGTTTCCGAAGAGGGAGCCCCACGGATCGATGGTTCTCAGGGCGTGCGTTAGCCCAATGTGTGTGTGTTACCTCGTTCAGCTCCACCAATGGTGCGCAACCTGTGTCGGCCCTAACTGCGCTGCCCGCGTCGTACTGAAGGGCCTCAGTGGTCCAAGCACACGCTGGCGCCAACACGCCTGTCTGAGGGTCGTCGAACAGGCCTCCGCAGGTTCATGTCTCGTGCTCTCATGATTTACCTCTGGTCTTCCGAAGGAGGGCCGGTGCAGCTGCGCGCCAGGCTTCCAGGGCGAGGGTTGCGAGGCGGTCGTGGTGCCGGCCCCGATTTGGCCCACAACCCTGCACCTCCCGCTGGCGACGAGTCTCCCCACGGCGGAGTCCGTCGCTGCAGAGGCCCCTCGCTGCGGAAACGCCGGCGGCGGCGGCGGCGGCGACATCGGCGGCGACGACGACGACGGGAGGCGCACGCCGTCGCCACCGCCGCCGCCGCCACCGCAGCCGTGGCCGCCGCCTACGCCGCGGCGGCGCTGGCGCCTGTACCTACAACGACGACGACGACGACGATGACAGACGACGGCGACGACAGACGACCGCGGCGGCGGCGGCGCTGACGCCGTCGCCGTTCACTGAGAGCCCAGTGCCGGATTCTATTGGTTCGGCAGTCGTTGCGGCGACGACGGCAGCAGCAGCGGCGGTTTCCTTGAGACCCGACGTCGCGAACAACATCATCGCGAAGAAATGCGACGATCGGAAGCGCAGACCCAATATTTGTGCTGAATGTGTCGAGTTGGACCGATCCGTGCTGATCCGAACCCCAGCGAGCACGTCCGTTCTGGAAACATGCGACGCCAGGAGCCAGGAACCCAGGGTTCAGCCACGCGCAGAGGGGGGTGGGGGGAGGGGGGAGGGCTTCTTAGAAGCGCCCCTGCTTCTTGGAAGGTGCGGGCCTTATCTATAGATGTAAGGCCCGCGCCGTCTAAGAAGCAGCCTGAATCTAAGAAGCCATCCCCCCTCCCTCCACCCCCTCGTGCGCGTCGCCAAAGGGTTGCGCCCGCGCACACCGCCAGCCAGCGTCGTCGAGGTCGTCGTCGTCGTCGCCGCCAGAGGCCGCGTGCCCCGGCGGCTGCGGCGACCACGGGCGCTGCGAGGGCGGCGCGTGCACCTGCTGCGACGGCTACTCTGGCGCCCTGGGCCGCCCCAACATGAGTCGCCGTGGGTAGATAGTGCCATCAAGCAAGCGGGGCCTGAGGGCATGGGGGCCTGAGGTTTCTTTTCGCCGTGTTCGGGCTCGCGGAGCCCCCCGACGGGCCCTGGCACCGTCACAAAAAAAAACTCGGTGAAAATCAGGTCGTGGGGAAGGCCCACTGAGGTCCTCGACGGTGTCGGACTCCCGGGGCCCCCCGGGACCAGCAAAACACCGTTCAGGAAGCAGAACTTGGGCACCAAATGGTGCGTCGACCCCTTCGTGTGGAGAGTCAGGGGGGATTCGGAATGACCGCACGGGTTTTGGGACTCGGGTCGTTCTGCAAGGATGTCTCGAGCGATGGAGGCCTTCAGGTTCCCAAGACGGTGCGGTGACGGGACGTGCGATGAGGTCTTTGGCGGCTCCGAGGTCACCACACGGATTGTCACCGCACCGTTTCGGGACCCCCAGACAATGAGGGAAAGGGGTCCTGTTTTCGCCGATGTCGGGCTCTTGGGGTTGGGCCCCGGGACAAGCAAGAAACGATTCAGGAAGAAGAAATGGTCTTGGGGGAAAGCCTCGGGGTCCTTTCTTCAGGACCCGCTTGCATCAGGCCAAGTATGGGTCGTTTACACAGGAGTTGCGTCTCGCCGAGAGCGTTCCAGGGGTGCCCGACTCGTCCAAAACCAAAGGTAAGTAAGTATTACCCGAAAGCCAGGGGTAAGAGTGGCCCTTCGCCAGAGTGACTGTTCGTGGGCGGTTTTCCGAGGGCGCGTGGGGCCAAGTCCGAGCACGGAGGCCACCACTGTCGCATCACACGCCGCGATCGGCAGGCTGCACACCAAAGGTCATTCTTGCCTGGAGGCGCTCTTGCGTGTAGCCCAGTGGAGTCCGAGCATCGCCCCACATCGCCGGTGCGGCGCGATCCCGCGCCCCATGCCGACGTGGCCAGTTCGAAGGGTTCCAGCCCCAGACTCTCAAAATCGGCGCGGCTTGTTTGTCATCATGATCTGCTGCTGGAGGCCGGTCACAGACCCCGAGACCAGCAACGAAGCGCTTCGAGGCGAACAACAAATGCCTTGGGGACGAGGGGTGCGGGCTCCCGCGCATCAAAGTCGAAGCGCCAGATGTCTGGAGGAGTGCCCAAAAGCTCCGTCCTGGTGGACTCGTGCGGGGGGGCTCCCAGGCAGCGTTTCCTAGGCTCGCGCGCAGTACCCGCGCTGCCGCCCGCGCAGACCGCACACCCGCCCCGCGCGCCACTGTGCTGCTATCCGGGTGTCATGCTTTTCGCGCCAGTTTGGAGCCCCTGTAGCCTTCCGAGCCTCGCGGACTCGCGGAGGGGTGTTCCTGAAGGCCCTTTGGCCTCCTTAGAAAAGTTGTGGGCAATTTGCGGCAGGGCAACATTGTGCCGATGAATCGCCGGTGCAGCGGTGATGCGATGTGATCCTCCGCCCCCATTTGCTCATGCCTTGAGCGCCGAAGAGAAACGGGGCCGACTGAGGGTTGCTTGCGTGAGGTCGCGCGTGACGCCTGTTTCTACACGTGCCACGTGGTGTTCGCGTGAGAAGCTTGCGTAAGTCAGTGCTTGAGGTCACTATGGCATCGTGCGCAAGACTCTGGGTCAACAGTAGGGGTGGGTAGAATCAGGGAGAACTGAAACGACACCGGGCCTATCGCCGACCTGTCGGCGATGTATCGCCGATTCCAGGTCGATGTTTCCACCCCTGAGCTGGTCTCCTCCTAACGCTGCCCCTCAAAGACCCCTTTCTTCTCGTTCCTCAGAGATAAGCGCTCTTCGTGCGGCGCCGCCTTGGCCGCACAGGTGGTGGCGCGAGGGAGCGAAGGATGACCGCGCGTCGCGCATCGCGGGGCGCGACCCTCGATGTGAGGTGGTGGCCTAGGGCCCCCCCCCGCGGCGGCCCCAGCTGTGGCCCAGAATCGGCCGACATCGGGCGATCTGCGCTGTCGGAGAGCTGGACGGCCTGCGCGGTCACACGCCCGACCCGCCCGTTGAGGTCCCGCCCGCCCGACCCCCTGTCAGGGTCCTGGCCGCCGCCGCCGCTGTCGCCGTCGTCCTCGTCGGCGTCGTCATCGTCGTCGTTTTCGTCGTCGTTTTCGTCGTCGTCGTCGTCGTCGTCGTCTCCATCGTCGTCATCGTCCTCGTCGTCGTCGTCTCCGTCTCCGTCGTTTCCGTCGTCGTCGTCGTTCTCGTCTCATCGCCGCGGTGTTCGTTGTGTTCGTCTCGTCGTCACCGTCCTACTCTTCGGTCGTCGTCGTTTCTGTCTCGTCGCATTCGGCACTGTGTTCTGGCGGCTTCCGAGGCGCCTCGTGCCAGGACTTCTGCCCGAGCGCCTGCTCCGGCCGGGGCGCCTGCACCGCGGGCAGGTGCTTGTGCCTGACCGGCTACAGCGGGGACGACTGCTCGGCGGCGAGTTGCTGCAGCGGCCACGGGGACCCCCACCCGTCGCTTATATGGCATCTTCCAGGGACCTCGCTTCCTCCTCCCGTTTCATCCTCCCCTCCCCTGGCCTCTCCCGTTTCCCCCCCCCCGCTCTCCAGCTCCTCGGTTTCACCTTGGGCCCCACCTCGGGTCGGCCGATCTCACGGAGAGGCCAGAGTATCCCGATGTGTCCACGGCCGTGTCCTACGCACCTCTGGGTTGTTGAGTTGTGCTAGCTTGCTTGCTCGTTTCGGGTGACCTCGTCTGTCATGTAAGCTGCTGTCTCTTCTTGTGTCCGACGCGGACACTGCGCAGGTTCGACGCAGATGTCGGCGTGGATTCGACGCAGATTCGACATGGATTCGACGTTCGACGTAGATCCGACACGGATGTGGCGCGAACAGCGGCGCGATGGGACAGACAAGGCCTGCCGAAGGCGCAACATGACGTCGCCGCCCGTCGTGCGTCCTCCGTCGTCGTTGTCGTTCGTCGTCGCCGTCGGTTCGAAGGACGAAGTTCTGGGGGCGTTTTCCCCGACCAGGCCTCGAGGAGATCTCAGAATTGTAGTCAAAAAGTTTGCCAGGACAGGTCTGGAGAGTCATCGTCGTGATTGCTGCCGTCGGATTCACTGATGATGCGTCTGTGTTTTCAGGGGCCATCGTCGCAACGGCTGGACGCGGCTCGCAAAAATGGCCAGAGTGGACCGCAGGAGCGGGTTGGGGCCAGGTTTGTTCGGATGTTGGGTTGGGGCAGGCGCGAGCGCGGTGGCCTTCGAGAAGGCATGGAGCCTTTCAGTAGCCCCCTTGCATTCTCCAAGGCTTCTCTTCTCAGAAAGCGCCAGCCCCTTCTTTAAGGAGGATCCCCCGCCGTCTTAGAAGGCCTCCCCATCGCCACAACTCCCAGGGCACATGGCGAGTATAAGTTCCAGAAATGCCTAGATCCAATAGCCACCAGAAGAATCGTGGTTATGGGCGTTCGAGAAGTAACGTTGTTTGATGAGTAGGCCAGAAAATTCACGAAAGCGTAGATGAGACACATATACCATCAAAGTCAAGTTGGTTCTACGCAGCGTGTGAGTTCCAAACGTTGCAGTGCAATGTTGTTATTTGGAGCATGCAGATTGGGATGTGCAATTTGGGATATGCAGTATGCGTGGCGCAACCTAAATTGGGCTATATAAGTTGCGAAGTATGAGCTAAGCTGTGCAGGACATACAATATTGACAACAAGCAGAACCTAAACAAGGGTGACATTCGACTGGGCACAAGCCTGGAGCTTGAGCTGAGCTGGACCTGAGCTGGAGCTGTGGCTGGGGAAGGAGCTGAAGCTTGGTCTGCAGTTCGGGATGGAGAGGGTTTCGGCTGGAGCTGGGGCTGGAGCGAAGCTGGGGTTGGAGCTCTGGCTGGAGCGAAACTGGAGCCTGGGCTTGGGAAGCTGGAGTTGGAGCTGGAGCCTGGGCTTGGGAAGCTGGAGCTGGAGCTGGGCCGAAGCAGGAGCTGGGGCTGCGGATGGAGCTGGGGGGGAGCATGAGAGCGGAAGAGCACCACACGCTGGACGCTCGAAGTAATGTCCAGGAATTGAGTGGATCCTAGGTGCGAGCGCGAAGAGCACCAAGCATTGGAGGATCGGTTCCAGATTGTCAGTGACCAGCTCAAGGCGTTGAGTTCCGGTAGCACAAAGAGGAGCAAACCCTGGAGGACTGGCCCTGCATGTTCAAAATCAGCAGTTGAATTTCGGCAGCAAAAACATAATCCCACGCTGCAGTGCCGGCTCCGCGTGAGCAAAATCAGCCCTGAAAGTAGACTCTGCGACGTGAACAACATCAAGCGTAAGCGACGGAATTGTGGTTCCAATGATCAAGTTCAGTTTTTGGAGTGCGTTCTTGGCAACACCATCCATCATTGGAGGATCGGCTCCAGATGATGAACATATCACCCAGTGTATTGAGGTTCGGCAGCACCAGAAGCGGCGTCCATACAGCGGTTTCTCCAGAGGGTCAAAGTCAGGCCCGCGAGCTGAGGTTCGGCAACACGAAGAGTTGGTTGGAAGGGTTGTGCCCAAACGGTCAAAGTCAACCCCGGCAGTCTTTTCAACACGACGCTGCGCTTGGATGTGAAGGGTATACCACAAACCCGGATGCTCAGATCCAAGACCAGGAGTGAAGTTCTGGCAGCATCCAGAGTCTGACCTCCCCACCCGTCCGGTCTCAACCTTGAAGCACATAGCGAGAATTTTCTTGGGCACGCCTACCCAGGGAACAAAACGTCGACGTCGACGATGTTGTTTGCTGCCTCTCAAAGTCTCCAGAGATACACAGGTCGGGGCTCAAGGGACGGGGGTCAATGTTAGTCAGAGCGCCGTATGTTGCAGGATCTTGCAGAGCCAGCTCCTCGCCGTTGAAGACGGCAGCGCGCCACACCAAGACATGTGACGATCTATCCTTTAGAACTAACAGGTTGTGTCTCGCCTCACTCGCCTCGTCCTCCCTCGTCGTCACAACCGTCTCGTCCATAGCTTTGTGTTTCGAGAGGCCTCGGGGGAGCCGACCCCGTACAATCTTCTGGTGCTCCTCCCGAGGCCTGAGGGAGCCCCCGCAACCCTCGGGGCTTGCGGGGGCCGACTTCGGGCTCGTCCGACCTTGACACCGTGACGGCTCCTCGCGTGGGCCTCCTCCTGGCGATGGCGGCTGGTGCTGGCGTGCCCGCTGGCCTCGGGGGCTTCGCAGCGCTGCCCGCGGGGGTTGCCGCGGCGCTCGGCGCGGTGCCGAAGGGGGCCCTCCCAGTGCTGCCCAAGGGCGCGCGGCGCGCGGCGCCCAAGGGCCGTGGAGGAGGCCGACGCGGCCGCGGCCGAGGCAAGGCTGGAGGGGGACCCCCGCCCGCGCCTAAGGGCAGGAAGGCTGCGGGGGCCCCTCGACCGCGGCCTGCAGGCGGAGGCAAGGCCAAGGCGGGCGCAGGTGCGTGCGCTGTGAGCGGCGCAGTTCCAGCAGCCGCCGCGCCTCCGCTCGCAGGGCCGCCTGCTGGGCCGCCTGGGGCTGGTGCAGGGCCAGCGTCCGCGGCAGCCGTGGTGCCCGCAGCGGCGGGGGCCCCACCAGGGCCCGCCGCGTTCGCCGGCGGCTTCGGAGTCGGCTTCGGACCGCCAGGAGGTGGCGGCGCTGCATGAGGCGGCGGGCTCATCCCGCCCGCGTTCGGAGGCGGCGCGGTCGCGGGCCCTGGAGGCCCCCCCTTCGCGCCAGGAGGAAGGAGTCCCCCCAGGAGCTGGGGTCGGCCTCGGCCCGTGCGTGGGCGGAGGCGCAGGAGGCGGGCCCGCCGCCGCCCCCGCCGTGGTGCCCGCGGGCGGCGGCGGCCTCGTGGGCGGCTTCGGCGTCGGAGGCTGGGGCGCGCCCGCTGCCGCGGGCTGGGGCCACGCGCCTGGATTCGACCTCGCCGCGGTCCCCGGGGGCGCGGAACCTCGGATCCACGGCCCGTCGGCGCCCCACGCCCACCAGCGCATGGGTCTCATGCCAGGCACGCGCGTTGAGGGAGTGCTTCTCGACAGCTCCTCCAGCGCTGCGGGGACTGTTGTGTTCATGGTCCAGAGTGCGTGGCCAGGCGACGGGAGCGGGTGCTACGTCGAGGGCGTCTTCGTGGGCACGAGCGCCACGCAGCTGGCGCCCATGTTGTCGGGCTCCTTCGGCGCCGTCGGCGGGTCGGTCCTCCACTTGTGTTCGCAGCCGGCCTCGCAGTGCTCGCTGGTCAATCAGTGGCCTGGTCGTGCTGTGCTCCACATCGAGACGTACAGGATGCGTGACGGGCGGAGCCTCACCGAGCCGTGGAAACAGGGTGTCCAGCAGCCTGCCGCAGGAGGATGCTCGCCGACATGAGAAGGCCAGGGGACCACCCCCGCGGCCGCTGGGGCTGCCGCAGGAGCTGACGGTCAGCCTGGCGCCGGCCCGACGCACGCCGAGCTGCGCGCCAAGGTTGCGGAGCTGAAGGAGCGGCTCCACAGGCGGCGGACGGTGGGGCAGTCACTGGCCTCGCGCGCCGAGGCGGCCCTGTCGGGGAAGCGGCCTAGCAAGAACAAGAAGGACGACCGGGGCGGCAGTGAGTCAAGTTTTGACGACGCCTCACACGTCGATGCAGGCCGTCGGATAGAGACCCTCTCGCGCGAGCAGCCAGGAGCCCTCCTGGCCAGCGGGATGGAGGTCATCAGCCGCTATCTGGCGCGACGTGGAGGGGCGGCCGATTCAGAGAGCCTGGATACGATGAGCGCTCAGGTCGTTCGCTACACCACCAGTGCGTGGCACGGGCATCACCCCCAGAGCGAGATGGGGGTGAGGAGCGTGAGGGAGTTGCGTGCCATCGGGGAGTGCCTCGACGCGTTGCTTCGAGTAGAACTCGATCACCTCGGCGACTTGCCGATGCAGAGGACGAAGGCGATCGAGCAGGCGACGAAGGACGGGCACTGGCATGTGGCGCAGCATCTCGCGTTGCGCGACGACCTCGGAGTGGGCCTGACGCAGTCGGCGGAGCTGGCGGACGCAGCGAGCAAGCACAAGAAGCTTCACGGCCTGCAGGAGAGCGCCGCGAAGGCCCGCAAGACGAGCGCCGCTGGCTAGGGGTGGGGCCATGGGGGGGCGAGCGGCCCGCGCCCCCCCCCCCCCCCTCGACGGCCAGCCGCTGGCGCGGCCGAGGCGGCGCCAAATCCCCCCCCCCCCCCCCCCGCGTCGCCAGGCCAGCGGGGGAGGGTGCGCAAGGGACTCAACACCATGGGCCTGCGAGCTCGCAAGGGGCTCAACACCATGGGCCTGCGAGCTCGAGATGGGAAGGCTTCGAGCACGGCGGCGCGGGCGGCTTCCTCCCCGCGGGCGAGCGCCCCTCTCCCGAAGGCCGCCGCGAAGGAGACGACTGCTGCGGCTGGTGCGACAGGCGCGGCCGCGGCCCCGAGGACCCCGTCGCCGCGGGCGGAGCGCTCCAGCGGGCCGCCGTCGCCGAGGCCGCCCCCGGGAGGGCTGAGCCCAGGCCCCGACCGGAGGC